AGCGGACCTGGGTTTGAGCATTCCTTGTTGCGAAACGAGTGCATGTTTTTTGTATTTTCTTATTCCCCTTTGGTTTGCAATAGTTTATATGAATTCAATCCATGCTTATTTAGAATTGTTGATACTTCATGAATTGTAAACATGGTTGTGAATATGTAGTATGTTGTGAAAGAAATTTAAAGGAGAAGTTTCTTGTGTGGTTTCAAGTTGTGTATGTATTGATGTAAAAATATTTCATAGTGGAGATCCTGACACTCTAATAACCATCCAATATCAAGTAGAGAAAGATGATGTATGTGGTGAGAGGAACATAGGATCCTAGTTTAGGAACTTTGTCCATAAGATGTTAACGGATTAACCTTGTGTGTAGTACAATAAAACTCATTGACAATAACTCTGTAGAGCAGTAGAAGTTACCACAAGTGCACAACCTGTTAGAGTTATACATCAATACATGTATTCAGATGATCAAATTTAGATTTACTTGTGTTCAATTGTTATATTCATAACTAAATTATATGTATGTTTCTTTAATTTACCCTTCCATCTTTGTTTGTATTTTGTTGTTTCTTATTTTCTATGATCATCTTAATGATGTGAGCAAATGATAAAACATCTCTTGAGTAGATGCTAGATGGTGATGAAGTTGAGACATAGTAGAATTTTAGTTCCTTTATATATTTGTTCTTTTGAAAAACTCTAGTTTTGTACTTATAGATGAGTATAATAGAAAAATCTTCGATATAAAATATTGCATATATATTAGGTATTATAATTTTGTTTGAATAACACTAATAACACTTTATATGTCCTCTTTTAAGTTAATGTTGTCTTTTAGATGTGTGATACTTTTATAATATTATTAATATTATTGAAATAGAATGTCATAAATTTTATATATATTTAAACAAAAATTAATTTATTGAATAAATTATAATTATATAGATAACATTGAATAAAAGGTAAATGCTGAGGATATAATTATAACTTCCTTCACCACTAATAATTAAAGATTAAATTATAAATACTTGTAATATTCACACACATACTCGTTCTATATAACTATAAATCACTATAAATTAAATAACAATTGAGAGAAAAATCGTTACATTAAATAATATAGTTATTATTTTATAAATTAAAAATTATTAGTATTTAAATTAATTTTATCATTAATAAAATTGTATACTAGTTTATAAATTAGAATTTAAATTAATCCCTAGTTGTTAATGTTTTAGCTATTATTAGTTTTTAAAAATTAATAATATAAAATCTTAGTAAGAAATTAATTTAGATTTTGATTCACAAATTAATTGTAAATTTTAAATAATAATAAAAACTATTTAAATACTAATAATTTTGTATAATTTTGATTTTTAAATTCAGTATTATTTAATTTTTTTTATATTACATATAAACAACGTGAGTATAGGCTTTGAAATTGATATTAAATTACCAAAAGTATTTTAATTTTTATTATCTTAAACATTCTTATTTTTAAGAAATATATTGAAAAGTAAATAATATTCTGACTCAAAAACTAAAACGAACATTAGTGAAAGACATCTACAAAGAGAATCGTATTCAAAAATAGCAAAAAGTAAGCAAATCTTAAAAAACGAATTAGTTAAATAACATGTTTCTCATTCTTTGAAAAAAAAAAAGAAATCTATATGTTTCTGAAGTATGTGTTGATATAATGAGAAATATGCAAAGAAGGCATTTAAACTTTGCAAAAGGACATAATGAAATTGTTAAGCAGCACATACTATTTTCTTTGGTTGCAGCAATCCACACACAAATAAATTCAATTTCCTCAGATTTCAAATCACTAGGACCACTCTTTTAAATATAGTTTTATGAAGCAGGACCACTGCATCAAACTTTTTTCTTGTAACTTTTGAGCCGAAGAATGCATCAAGAGAGTCATAAACCATAAAAAGCTTTATATCTGAGAATCCTCTAACATGTAGAATGAACACTGCATCTTCTTAAGCATGTGAATCTACAATCATGGCGTGCATCAAATGTGCACATGATCCCAGTGAACCTTCTGCAAAGTAACAACCACCAGCTTACAATTCATTGCAACCAATTAACTTCCAGGATCTGGTCAATGAAGACTGCCCTTAGATTACAAATATGATCACTTTTTTTCTGGCAAATGCTTTTATGGCATATGATTATAACTTCGAAGATAGAGATATCTGGGTACTGCTACTTGCATTATTCTTGCAATCATTCACATACTTCAGATAATAGATGACAGACCTACAAATAATATATCTTCTTTTTTACAATGGAGATAGACATAACAGGTTAAAATTTTTACTATTTTTATTTTTATTTTACAATTATATTTATCAATTTTATGTAGTTAATGAATCTGGGAAATGGTTGTAACTTTTTTTCACGGACATGTCGGTGGTATATAGAGGAAGTTATTCGGTTGGCATGGTAGTGTGACATTATATTAGATGATCATAGGTACCGTAGCTTTCCTCGTATATTGATTGCAATTTGGAAGTAGTGGGTGGGAAGTGCCCTCCTTTAATAAATTTTCATCCTAATCATTCCAATGACTAAATCTTCCTCCATCACCCTTCTCACCACTTTTTCTTCTTTTTATTAACAACTCCACACCAATTCCCTCCACTTTTTTTATATATTTCTAAACAGATTCTTGATTCTACATTAATGGAATATAAAATTTCATTTCCGTGATATATATATGCAAATTATCCTAACGAGTATATATATCATTCCCAAACTTTATATAGTAAAATCAGAAAATAAAACATAAAATAATAATCATAAAAGATGTATTATTTAATATCCACACCAAAAGAATACTACTATAATAATTTATTATTATAAAATTGAGATTATTTTATAATATTATGTCTTTAAATTTTTTTACAATCTTATACTTTTTTTTACTACTTTATCTAAGTAATTGTAAACAAATTTTATCTATTTTTCAATGAAACTAGCACCATCACCAAAATTTTCTCAACGAGTTTGAAATTTGAAAACTATTTTTTCAACAAGTTTATTATTAGCAATAAGCCAACAATTTGATAAGAGTCTTATGAGTTGAGATGCACTAGATAAACATTATTAGCACTCAATAAATAAGTAATTAATAAGAAAAATGTCTATGTTAAATTTACTTATTGATAACTACCGTTATCAATTCTAATTACAATATCAATAACTAAATATAAGTATATTATCAGACCATGCGTTAATTTTTATGTGGTTAGGATGATATCGATATATAGCAATACATAATTAAGAGAAAACTTTTTCAAAGTAAATATCTCATCATCATCATGCTTCTTCTTTTCTTTCAAAAATTTCGGCTTAGTCTAATTCGTAAGGCGAGTCACCTTTTGTAAGACTCTAACTAACTATTGCTTAACAATGACAAGACCTGGTTTTCAATAGTACATAACGGAAACGTAAAATACATATTCTTGACATTATAATATCTGTATAGTATACGGAAAGTATCAGTAATTATTAATGATTTAATAACTAGTAAAATAGGATCTTATTTTCTATACACATACATAAAATAGATAACTTCAATCGAATTAAGTATAATTATCATTAATTAATAATAGAGTTAGCTTTATTTGATTTAATATTGGATGCACCAACCAATGCACGGAAGGATTTTTATCATCATGTGCTGCGTATCTTTTAACTTTCATTCTTCTTAACTGGACGCCGTACTTGAAAATGCCTATACTGCCAATAATTAAAACATTATTAATATCCAAATAATTGCTACTGTTGTTAAAGGTTCAACGTCTTCAATTATCACATTGCCTAATCCAACATAACATATTTACTCAATCATGCATTTAATGATACAATTAATGTCGTTTTACAACAGTGGTCCGTCCTGCAATATATAAAGCTTAGGTTTAATAAGTTTTTTTTTCTAAATATTTGTGGCATTTATTTAATGTGATTTTTTTATTTTTTTTTTCAATTTAATGTATTTGTTTTTGTTTAATTGATATTGATAATGATCAAACGATAATTAAATATTTAAGGTGATTTTGTTTTTGGACTTACCCAACATGGTCTGTTTTCCATTTTAGCACGGACCGTTGAACTCGTGTTTGGGCTTGGGCTGGTGAACAAGAGAAACTCGAGGCTATTGCTTCCTACACTCCCATCAAATTTCTCATCCACCTCATCAAGAAGTTTTTTGGAAATTTTTTTCCGTAATAGAAGTGAAAGATGCTTTCCGAACAAAAAAACTCCTGAATTATTTATTATGTTCTGGAAAATAATTTTCTGAACTGATAGGGTGTGGAAGAAATCTGATGGGGTGCAGTAAGTAAATTCCGAAACTCAAGCACATGTTCTTTCTCACAACCTTTTCTTGTTATACACCAAATCAACATATATGAAAATATGTTTTCATATATTAAAAAACATAAATAGCAAACAAATTAAACTTACTTGTGCTCAATGGAAAGGTAGGAAGTTAGATTATGTTTGTATTAAAAATTAGAAATTCCTTTAGCATATTCTAATACGCTAAATGAAGAAAAAAACATATTAATGGAATAAAAATACTTTCAATATTTAGTTTTTGATATATATATATATATATATATATATATATATATATAATAAAATCTTTTTAGGTATGATATTTTTGAAAGATATTTTTCTTAAATAATTGAGAATTTAATTTAATGTTATACAATTTTTTTTAAAATACAACTTTTCAATTTTTAAAATTGAATTCAATTTAGTGACTACACTAAAAAATTTCTCAGACAACTCGCCCTTTTTATTTTCATTAATATGCTTTAGCAGTTCATTTGATTTGAAGTGAACGTGGCGTTGACTGTCACCATTGGATCTACTTATACTGTTATTTAAAATCTTAAGAACATCAATTTTCTCGAAGCGCTGCTGTTCCGTTCATCAAACACTTCATCTGCGTTGCCATTGCATCACTTTGTCCTAAAAGCCAAGGAGCCCAATACTCAATAGATCTCAACTCCATAACAAACCTAAGCCACCAGCGCCACCAAAACAACGAAGGCCAACGGAGGAGCAAGGGTGGTGTCCTTGCGCTGCCGCAGAGGACACAGAAACTGTAGGCTCCGTCAACCGTCTCCAACTGCCAGGTTAGTAGAAGAATACAATGAATTCAATTAATCGTTTCTGCAATTTCCACGAGTTTAATTTTGTGTACATGTACATTGTTGTTGTTCTGAGGACTGTTATTTCAGAAATCAAAGAACCTTATCAAAGTACTTTCAGAGGATCTGGTTTTGGATGACTGTCTGAGATTGGTATAGATTGTATGTATATTCTGTTAAAAAAAACCTGTATATATATATTTTTGTACGGTAATTTGTTCGTATGTAAAATTATTGACAGGTTTAGAAATTTTTTGAATAATTGTTGACGACATATACTCTGTTGGTAATGATCGAATTAGTGATGAATTTTCGCGTGAGGAAATGTATTATATACTATTAGGTGAAGATATTTTTATTCTTTATACCCAAATCAAATATAATTAAAAGTTCTATCCACCGAAAACTCCTAATTATATGAATTCCTGAAAGCTCCTAACAATTAAAATTTCTACTAATGAAAATTCCTGACAAAGAAAATTCCTAATATTTAAAATCCCTAATATTAAAGGAATTCAATACTATCATCTAAAATTTCAATACTACCTAAAACCTTAAATGTATCGAGTACTTCTCCTCCTTAAATATGATTAGTGTGACATATCAAATTGACGGTATATTTAATTAAATGTTTTCCCAACCCTACAATACCTCCAACATTCCCTTCTGAGCTTAGCATATGCTATATGCATTCATATTGCAAACTCTGGTCAATGTTTGTAACAGGAGTTCAAATTGTAAGTAGCAAAAGCTTTTAAAATAATTATATTATAAAACATAGCAAACTTGTTACATATGATACCGTTGTGTCTTGATGTTTATAACTTTCAAGTCTCGAGATATTATAATTTTTTTATATTATAAATATCTAATAACATATTGTCATTAAGATAATAACTAATGCAAATTAGTTGTTTCATTGGTAGTATAGAATTAAACTAAATTAAAATTCTTAGTGTATTAAATTAAAGTTTTTATTCTATTGAAAATCGTCTCTCTAGTTTGTTTTTAATCCGTTTAGTTACCCATAACTTTTTTTACAAAACTCTATGTTATTAAATTACTTTTGTTTTAACTGGCTCATTTTTCTGCAAATACAATTCTATATATCATTTAAATCCTTTGATGTCTACATTTGCAGAGTTCATTTGGACAAAAGACAGTGGAACAGTAGAAGGTAATCAACCCTTGGAGGCTAGTATATTAAGATTGCTGTTATCTATACTGCCATTATAGTGTTACTTGCATCATTAATTTACCTGAGTAACTAAAGATATATAGGATGAAACCCCTCAGAAAGGAAAACGAAATAGTAGTTTGTGGCATGCCAAAGGAAGGTATAAAAAGTTCTACGAATACTGAGTCAACTGTATTAGATGAAGCAAACAGTGGCAGACAAGTTTCTCGCCGTGTGAGGAAATTTTCTGTTTCTACCAGAAATAAAAAAAAAAGGCGAAAAACTTTGCGGATTTCTTTAGTTGGACCGTCAACTGTATCTTTGAAGAAAAAGCTTATTGTTCTTGATCTAAATGGGCTTCTTGTGGACATTGTTTCTCCTCCTCCAAAGGATCGTAAAGCAGATGCAACCGTAGGAAGTAAAGCACGTGAGAAATAGCTCTGTTATTCTACTTTTTCATACTAAGAGGGTGTGCCTTATGCTTTCTTTACTAATCCAGTTATGCTTCGTTTTAGTATTCAAGAGGCCCTTTTATCTTGACTTCCTGAACTTCTGCTTTGAGAAGTTTGAAGTGGCTATATGGTCTTCAAGAACCAGGTATTCATCAACCATCTTTTTCTAAAATGTCAGTTAAAAACTTTGGTGTTCACTTTGTCTGCATGATCTTTTCAGTAGCCACTTTTAGTGATGTTTTTATCTGAGCCGTATTAAATTTTCATTTTACTATTTTGTAGGAAAAGGATCGATTATGTCATTAATTATTTGATGGGAAATATGAAACAAAGGTTACTTTTTTGTTGGGTAAGTATTTTATCCGTCATCTCTGAATTCATTTGGCTACCTCTTGTTCTTGATTTTCAAATAATTTGTCCTGTGGAGACCCTCTTTTAGTAAATTTGGTATAAATTATATGTTTAGATGTTTGAGACCCTCTTTTATCATTCATTTGGTTTTTTTTCTTTCTTGTTTACTTGTTAATATATTCATATATATTTCGATTTGGCCAAGGGAGGCGATATCTTGAAACTCTTTAAAATTTATACATCTATATCACAACCATTTTTATTTAATAATTTAATTTAGATTTTAGTAAAATAACTTAATTTAGTATTTGATTATTATTTAGAATTATTAAATAGTTGTAATAAAAAAAATTGGGGTGTCAAAATACTATTTTTCTTTAGGGACTATACAAGTTTTTTCTATCGTGCAATTCTATTCCTCGGTGATCTTGCCACCCCGCTGGAAATTAAAATTAAATATTAATTTTCTCTTCTTCCCCCTCTTTAGGGTTTTTGTTTTGAACATGGCACGATGTAGCATTAATTTGCATATGCCAATTTAGAATGTTATTTTATCATGGCACGGTATGTGAATTCGTTTGTTCTTGATTTATTTGTTTTTGATGGAGTTACCTTGAGATAATGGCCTACTCTCTGCATCTCATTAAATGTTATTGACTTTTGTAGGATCTTTCTTATTGCACTAAAACAAGTTTCAAAAGTCTCGAAAACAAGTACAAGCCATTGGTTTTTAAAGATTTGAGGAAAATTTGGGAGAAGTACGATTCCCGTCTTCCATGGAAGAATGGATACTATAATGAATCAAATACATTGTTGTTGGATGATTCTCCATACAAGGCATTACTTAATCCTGTAAATAACTAATTCTTTCTTTCGTTTTTTCAATTTTCATTCAAGAAAATCGAAACCACCTGCATATCTCCCTCCATTATTTTACTAACTTTATCTTGAATGGTGAAATAAATTGTTTTAGCCATGCAACTCCGTGTTTCCGCACACATTCAGCTTTCAGAATCAGAGCGACAATTCACTAGGTATCATACAAACTACAAAATGACCTTCTAATTTATATTTGCTTGTGGCTTGGCTAGATTTTGCTAATGGACTAAGTGGATTTGAGTGATTTTATTTGTTCTGTAGCGCTTCTCTATTCTCCTTTGAACTTAACCTTTATATTCTTCAGCTTTCGGTTAACATTGAGCTTGATCTCATACTTTAGGATCTTTATGACATACATAGATAGAACATAATCAAGCGATTCCTTATACTCCTTTAACTTAAATTAGGCTTTTAACGAGCCACAAAATTTAATACAAGTGATATAACAATGCTTTATTAAACATTATATATTATAAAAGTAATTATCTATATGTGATTGGTGAACATCACCAATGTTATAGGTACTGCAAGCAAGTTTTGTCATGAGACAAAGTACTTTTGGTTCATTATAACTTTTCAACCACAAAAAATGCATTAATGGATCATTTGTTTTCTCTTTCAAGCACTATTTTCTAGTGGTAATTAATCACCAATGAATTATGACAGCTGCTGGAGGTGATCTGCGAGAATATCTGGATGGATTGGCAAATGCTGAAAATATACAGAAGTATGTGGAGCAACACCCATTTGGTCAAAGTGCTATCGATGAAAGAAGTCAATCTTGGAACTTTTACAGCAAGGTTCTCGATAGTCTTTCTACCTGTCAACCTGAAAAGTGAAAAAAAAATCCAAATAAATGGATCAGTAGTCTTCTCCTTTAATTTTTCTCATCACAGCAGTTGTTTTCCCATTCTTTAACGTTAGAACATCTTACAAAACATTTTTTATATCGAAGAACAGCTGTAACAGCAAGAGGGCTATAGAATTGAAAGGAACGAGTGAGACTTCAAAACTGAAGTAGTTTGTTTACCATTGATTTAATTGTTTTTCAATTCTTACACACTCGCTATATTTATATAGGAACATATGTTCTATTCATCAGTACACATATTTGATTACTCTTTAAAGGGCAACAACCTTGATTATTAGGTAACTGAATCAATTACTGTAGAATTTTTATGATGGAATTATTAACTTTTTTAATGAACCAAAAGAGTCAGAGCAGAAAAATCTAAAATATTTTAATGTTTTCAGTCTTTTAATTGGTTTACTATATCAAATGTCCTTATGCCTGTTCCTAAACTACTTGGAGACTGAGTATAGATGTAGCGTCAGGCCGAAACATATCTGGCCTTAAAGTTTGTTTGGTCCACTTCACGTGGAATGGGCCAAAAATTTATTGGAAAAGTTGAGCCCATTTAATCATAGGACGAAGGCACGGAATTTCGTATTTAATGTGGATCAGTCTGTGCGAAATGATGGTAATGGCTATTCCCTAGTCAAATGAAAGCAGTGTTAGGAAAGGAGACAAGCTTCAGTGTCATTGTGAGTATGACTAATGAGTCTTAATGCTTCTGTTTCATGATGTTTGGTTTCCCATTAATACTTTGCACGTGAAAATCTTTTCATCTCTGACAAATCTACCTAGCTACCACTACCTAGTAGCTCAAGTTTTTTTATCAAACGGAATAGAATAACTAGTGACACTCGCACCGTCGCACGTTCCAAGTCGTTTTGGTGCAATTTCGTGAACGAATGAAATTTCGATTTTCAGCTAACTTACAAACTATTGCCGAATGCGTTCAAAATTCGCGATGAATTAATTGGATTCAAAAATTTATGACTGAATCAAATCCATCAACCCCAGTTAAGAAAAATGAAGAATTTTTAGAAGCTTTAATCTAGTAGACCACTCGGTATAATCTGTCAAGTAAACTTCTAAATTTAAAGTTTATTTATTTTTAAAAAGTACTCTGAAAAAAATATAATGCATTGAAAATAAATACCAAATAATTTTTTCTTTTACATCTTTTTTTCTTATCGTGAGGTTGTCTCTTATGTTTTTCCCTGAGCTTCGTAGAATAATATCTGGTATGAACAAGGTAAACTTTCTGCATTTAGCCTCTCATCAATTTACAAAAGAGAGTTAAAAATCAAATGTCAGTGAAAAAGGTAAAGATAAACGAATGCCATTTTTGATTTATTTTGATAAACTATTTAAAGAGTGATTTTATCATAGTAGTATAATGAGGACAAGGTTTTGTTCCTTGGCCATGATGATGGCAGCTTGAACTAGTAGCAGGAACTGATGAGTTCCTTTGAGCACGCCTTTGTACGGTTTTCCAAATCATTGTCTTTGGCGCATTCCCATCACTCTCACTTTCTTTCTTACTACCGTTTCCCATAACTTTACAATATGTCACCGAATATACATTATCGTATACTGAGATACTAACTCAAATGTCCTTCACAGTCTTATAGCGTTTGTGTGTACAATTATTATAGACTTATGATTCAGTTTTCGAAGAATAACGTGGTCAATATTTAATTAGGTTTGAATTAACCTTAAAATTCATCCAACAACAAAACATATTGAAGGTTATTGTGCATACCTAAAATTAAGCACATTTAATCATTTATCTCTTTTTTTCAATTACCATATTTTATTTTTGTACAATTAATTTATTAATTTATCGATTTCATTTAAATTTCCTATGGGAGCCATTGAATATCGAAACGACAAGAGCAGAAAACAGAATGGAATCTTCAAAAAATGTTGAGTTTGGTGGTTGGGACATGTGAAGAAGAAAGGTTTTGATTGTGATGAACTGTGTAGATTGGCAACACTCTTATTACTAAGCATATATTGTGTCAAACATTTGTTTATATGCAATCAAATATAAATAATAGTTACTCCACGTGACCACCTATTATTGAGATCAACTTTAAGTTGTTCATCTTTTCTTAAGAGAAAGAAGAATTCGTCAGAAAAATGCAAAGTCCACAATCTTCCACGTGTGATTATTTTGCTATTTCTTTTGGCACCTGTCAATGGCGAAGCACATTCATATCTTGTTCATCTTCTACGTCTTGAAAATGTTGAAAAGAAAAGCAATATGATTGAGTCATTGGAATTGACTAAGAAAGGTGTAAGTATGAGTTTCAATTCAATTTGGAATGAGTATGTGCTCCACATGGTAGATTTGAAAGGCTGTCTTCTCATGTGAAGTGATGTAGGAATAGGATAAGGTAGAATCAAGGATTCTTTGCTCTGTCCCTTTTTTAATATCTAAACAACCTTTTTTCTCACTTTTTTATTTCTTAACAACATTCTACCTTTGCCTCCCTTTTTCAATATCTTTTATTCTTCCAACTCATCCACTGCTTCTTTTCCACTCATTAAAAACATAAAATCAAGTATATTTCAATTTTACTTAATTAGTCTCTTTAACAAAATGAAAACTCAACTTTTCTTACTCAAATGAATTCAATTCATTGATAAAAAAATACAATAGGGTAGGATTCCTCTCATTCTCATCAAGAGATAATGCTTTTATTTCGTAAACTTAAACAAGTTTAGTATTAACAAGTTCTTTAAATCTTCATACTAGAAGGAGTCGAAATAAATTTTACAAATTAAAATCAATATAAGTCATTTTACATATAAAAAGAATTACGACATCACTTTTAAATCAAACTTTAAAAAAATATATTCATGAGTTTTTTTTTATGTATTATCCATTTCACTTTTATATATTATCCACTTCATTAGTTTCAATCCCAATATGAAACTTCTAGTTTGATATTTAAATTTAATTTTTTTAAAACTCAATTATGCATATCAAATGTAATTCTTAAACATGATTGACTCTTTAAGTTTAAAAAGTGTATATTTTAATATATATATATATATATATATATATATATATATATATTAAGAAATGGATTTTAAATTAAATTTAGTTTATAAAATTAATTTATAAAGTATATTCTAACTTGGTCTTATTTTAGATATGAAAATTTCAATACATTCTTCCATAGATATATACATGATATATGATAAACTTTAAACTATAATACTATATTAAAAAATAAATTTTAAACTTAACTCAATTTTATAAAATTTACTTGTAAAATTTTTAAACTTTTTATTGAAAGATAATTAGTTATAGAATGTTTATAAACAAACAAGTGGGAATAAATGGAAAGTAATTATTTTGGTGAATTAAAAGGATATTAATGGGAGGAGACATGGATGATGTGGGAGAGAAAAGTTGTGTTTGGAATTATAAGATGATGTAGATTGCTTAGTGGGCAATAAAAAGAGAGGTAGCTCGTGATGCTCCACTTTTTGCATGTGGTTGTGCATCCCTTTTCAAAGTAACTCTCCTACTTCTCTTCACCTCCGTTTCTTTAGGTGTATGCACCAATAATCCAATCTTTTTTTTTTTTTTCATTTAAAACATATTTTCTTTTTCTCAAAACATGTTACTTTTATTTTATTTTAGTGCTCATAAATAATATTACTTTTTCTTTTACTCTTTATGAATGTCACTTTTTAGTGCTTATAATAATTATTTTTTATTTAGTTCTACAGACGTCTCACCTTAATTTTGTTTTAATTTATGTTAGTGTGATATATTTCCTTGTTGACTTTACCATTTATTAGCACGTGATCACGGTAGCATTATTGTCGTTATATTCAACGAAATAACGATAGATTCTAACATGAAATAAAATTAAGAGAAATTAAAAAAAAATTATCTTATGAATAGCTAAGCCTTTATTATATTTTTTATTTATATATTGAGAAGATAAGAAGTGAAATTTCTAACTGAATGTTTTGTAACTCAATTATAACGTCCATTATCATCTTTTTCTTTTATCTCCATTATTATTTTTATAATATTTTAAAGAATATTGAAATCTAATCAAATGTAGTATAAGTATACCTCAAAATATGTTTCAAGTTACAAATATTATGATCCGAAGAAACACATTTTCTTAAAATATATTTTCTGTAAAAGATTGACCTAATTGTCTCTACCCCATGCATGAAAAAGAACTGAAATATTGATGTCAAGGTGTTTCATTTCATGAGTTGCAAGATTCCGTTGTTTTAATGATGATTTTAATAATAAAAAAAATTAAAATTTTAAGTAATATATAATTATAATTTTAGTTTTTTAGTATTTTATTTTATAAATTTTATTGTTTTTTATTTTTTTTCTTATATTCTATCTAAATATTTGAAAATGTTACCAGTTTTTCATATATTAAGTTGTCTTTTAGTTAAATATTTATTATATTATCCTTTACTGGTTAGTAGTGATATACTAATTTAGGTTATAAAAGTGACATGCTTTTGTAAATTCAATATCTTCAGAGTAAGTTATTACTTCAATAAGTTTGCTCAATTTTAGTTTCCTTCCTTCAAGTTGAATTAAAGGTAAAAGAAAGTTAATATATTTATTTTATTTCAGGTGGGTTGGAATTTTGGTAAAAGTTAAGAATATATAAAAGCTAAACTAGTGAGATAATAGAATTGTTACTAAGGTTTTGAAGTAGAAATTGACTGATTTAGGATATTGGTAAAACTTTCAATGAATTATTATCTATTGGTCCGATTTTGAACTTGAAATACAAGTAATCAATCTAAAATATTAATTTTTATTTTTAATCTACGTAAAAAAAACCTTAAACATCCCGCATACACACACATTTAATTTTAATATGAAAATGCTAAGAAAATTTCCATTTAAATTTTATTCTTATTGTAATTTATATTTTGTTGTCATTAATCTTTCCAATTCCATTTATTAAAATTACTAAGTGATATATATGTTAACTGTAAGAAAGAACTTACAATATAATTACACTTGAATTTGGATCCCTATATAAATTAGTTATTGTATACATAGTTATTATATACAGATTTTACTAACTAATATAAAAAATTGAGTTATATATAGATTTTTTCAATAATGTCAAAAAAAAGTTTTTATCTAATCTTTTGTATATAAAATTCGTATCTAATTTTGACGTGCTAAAATAGAGTTTTTAGGAAGAATATTATCCGTATATAATGATATAAGATATCTAAGTGAAACAAAATTT